AGAGAGAGAGAGAGAGAGAGAGAGAGAGAGAGAGAGAGAGAGAGAGAGAGAGAGAAGGAGAGAGTATTTCTGTTTGAATGACTCAGCATATATATAGGCAGCGATATCAGTAGCTTAACAGGGGAAGTATCCCACGCGTTATCCCAGCACCGAAAGTGGATCGCTGAATGTAAACCCTAGCACGGCACGCCTAGTTAATAATAACCACACACACACGCACGTACCCGCACGCATATACACGCACGCACGCACACACACACACACACGCACGTACGCACCGACGCGTAATCATAGATGGACCACAACGTTGTAGCAGGCAACCAACCATGCTGGCTGCGGCCACACACGCACGCACACAAACACACGCGCGCGCGCACACGCACCCAGGCAGTCACTCACTGCATGAAATTGCACCTAATCTGCATGCGTCATTAACGCAGTCTCCCAGGTATGTAAAAATCCCGCATCCTATGTCATTACCCACAATTACACCAGCAGACTACGCGTACGTATGCATGTAGTATATGTGCGCGTGTGCGTGCGCGCGTGCGTGCGTGCGCATGTGCATACAGCCTATGATTTATATGCAAGCACACACAATACATTTGAGTGCGCATGTGCATACAGCCTATGATTTATATGCAAGCACACAAAATACATTTGATACCCTGCGCACGTGGTGGATGAACACACGCATGCACACATATACTGCTACCAACGCACGCACACAACACACACGCACACACAAGCACGCACGCACACAACCGCGCACACAGCGTACCATCCGCTCTCTGCCAATCTACTATCAGCAGACGTCATTTTAAAGAAAAAACACCATCAATCCCCCCTCCACCCACCCTGCTAGCCCCCACAAAACACACACGCACAAGCACACGTACGACAAAGAAGCAGCTATGCATACAAACTCCTGTAGTTTATGCGGTCGTAGCAACAGCAGCAGTGACGATCCCGTGTGCCGTGTGTGTTTGGTGTGGAATATTGGCAAACAGTAAATGTGGGAGTACCAGTCCGTGTTTGTGCGCATGTGTGTGTGTGTGTGTGTGTGTGTGTGTGTGTGTGTGTGTGTGTGTGTGTGTGTGTGTGTGTGTGTGT